TGGTCGATGCCACTGTTTCCACCTTCCTGTTACCTTTCCCATCCCTGGGACATTCTTTTCCCTGAGACATCCACAACATCACCCAATACACTTAGGTCTGCAGCCTAAGTGACACCAACAACACCTGACCAGGGCATGGTATTCAGGGGTAGGGAAATGCTGGTGGAGTAAACACATCTCACACATAGATATCATACATTTTCCTCAAATATTTGCCCTGGCTACTATGGTACAGAAAAAACAAAATATTTTTAAAATATTTCTATTACTATTTTTCTGAGCCTTGGGGTGGGGTATGTCTAAATAGGCAGAATTAGAGCTGGCTGGATCACATTAAATAGGGTTGTCTAAGGTCAGATAGAGTTCTGATCTGCCATCCTCACATCCAAATGGCATATAGACCCTAAGAAACCCCATTTGGTCCAGTTCCTTCCACTGTCAACTTGCCATAGCATGTAGTGGCTTAAGAAGAGAGCCACTTCAGGATACTGGAAAATTAAGCTTCCTCCTGTAAGTGGGAGAAGACAAGGGGCTTTTTTTTTACTTGTCTTCATCATCCAGTCAAGGACCTGCCCACAGCTGAATCCACCACTGAATTTTCAATTAAAAACAAAATTTTAATAAACTATATGGAGTATCTGGACTGCCCTAATGCAGGCTAAAAAAATAGTGTTACTTCCTCTGCCCCTCCATGGAAGAAGTGTTTAATTTGCCAACGTCCTGAAGTGGCTCTCTTTTTCAGCCACTTCACAATATGAGAAACTGACTGCAGATTGAGCCTTGCTAGCCAAAAGCTCACTTTGGTTTGCTTCCAGTGATTACCCGCAAAGGAAATGAACCAAAATGTAAGAGTAATTCTACTTACAACAAAAAACTAGAAGCAGTGGGAGGGGACCACAGCACAAACACTCTGGCCATGCCCATCCTTTGCTTAGTACAATCAAGTATTAAAAGTCCTGACTCTTGCTGAGTAGGTCATTTTGAACAAAATAAAACTTCATTATGCAAATACTTTAAAAGTTTCTTTTTTAAAAAAAAAATTAAAAGGTAGAAAAAAGAACCCAGAAAGGTTCAGGCAGGGATGTTCTTGGGAAGGCCTGGGGTTCGCTCCAGCAATTAGGTTGTGTAATTGCCAGAAAAAGGAGTGACCCAACTCGTGCCTGCAGCAGAGCAAACAGCAGGCTAAGCACCATTCTGATTTCTGCCCATTTGATTTTCATCTATTAGTTACATTGTTCTTACATTTTAGCCAGCACAATGAAGTTAATGCCACTGTTTATCTTGTACATTTCTACAGGAAAAAAAGAACGGAGCATCAGAGTTCACCACTGAAAACATGCTGACCTCTGTAGCTGATTTGTTTTCAGCTGGAACAGAAACAACCAGCACAACCCTCAGATACGGGCTCTTGATTCTCCAGAAATACCCGGAGGTAGAAGGTAAAACAGACCCTTCAACTACCTGCCAGCAGCTCCACTCCATTCCCACCCCTCCGTGGTCTCCCCTTTCAGGTTCTCCATATCTCATCACAGCCCCATGGGATTCCTGCCTTGCTCCCTGTGTGATTCCAGGCTGAACTGCAGGGCAGGATTTTGGGTGATCATGGAATTTAGCTTGGGTGCCATTGGGTAAAGAAGGACAGTAAAAACGGAAGCGAAACCAGGAAGGATCCACCAGAACCACCACCAGAAAAAGAGGTGGGAACCGAGACACTGTTGTCTTTCAGCCAAAAGGATTTCTTCACAGGAACTGTCCAGAAATAATCTTGGAGAGAGCTCTGCTTCTAGGATTCAAAAGCAGAGAGCATGTGTTTCGGACAAAGGGCATTCTTCATGAGAGCTAACTGCCCAAAAATACTCTTCCAGAATACTTGAAAATTGCTCTGCTTCTAGGATTCAAAAGCAGAGGGCATGTATATGTTTTCCCCTTCAATAAAAGTAGGCACCCAACTCCTCTGAATAACACCTGTCATCTGAAATACGTTGGACCATGAAGAAATAATGGCCTGCAGCTCGGAGTGCAGCCCCTTTGTAGAGGGTGATCAGGGAATAGAGCTAGACAATGGGGACTTATCAGAAGAAGAAAAAAGTTACATAAAAGAGGCCAAGTCACCCAATCT